GCAACATCATGATAAACAGAGAAGAGATTGAAGTTGTCAAGGATTTCATTTTACTTGGACACACAATCAACGTCCGTGGAAGCAGCAATCAAGAAATCGAAGGATGCGTGGGATTGGGCAAATCTGCTGCAAAAGACCTGTTTCAATTGTTTAAAAGCAAAGATGTCACTTTAAGGACTAAGGTGTACCTGACCCAAGCCATGGTGTTTTCAATTGCCTCATATGCATGTGAAAGCTGGACAATGAATAAGGAAGACCGAAGAAAAATTGATGCCTTTGAACTAAGGTGTTGGAGAAGAATATTGAATATACTGTGGACTGCCAAAAGAATGAACAAATCTGTCTTGGAAGAAGTACAGCCAGAATGCTCATTAGAAGCAGGGATGATGAGACTTTGTCTCATATACTTTGGATATATTATCAGGAGGGACCAGTCCCTGGAAAAGGACATCATGCTTGGTAAAATAGAGGGTCAGCAAAAATGAGGACGTCCCTCTTCGAGGTGGATTGACACAGTGGCTGCAATAATGGGCTCAAACATAGCGACGCTTGTGAGGATGGCACAGGATCTGGCAATATTGCATTCTGTTGTACATAGGGTTGCTATGAGTCGAACCAACTCAATGGCACCTAACAACAACAACTATATATATATATATGTTTGACATTTTTAAGCAAGGAGAAATTGTTAGGGAAAAAAAGAGTATTTCTAAAGACAAGAATCTTTCAACATTTGTCTTTGATGAGCAAACATAAAAGGAGTTGAGGAAAGGAGAGTGATTAACGTCACTGCTGTTTCTAAATCGCTTGGCCTGGGTTTCGCTTCCTGTTGGAGCAAGTGGGTTTAATACTAAGCACTTTCATGTAACAGCTCACTAGTCCTTCCATTTTTTTCTTAAAGGTTTGGGAGAAAAAACACTTTTCCATTGTTGACCTCCTCCCCCTCGAACTCTACTCTGGATTCTTCTGTATAATCTCTGTAACCCAGGAAATAAACTAACTTTTAAAGAGTGATTTCTCTATCCTAATGAAATCATAACAGGAATCAGTTTGTTTGAAAGTTGATGACATAGTTTTCCAAGAGCATGTTCTTCGTACATCAGGTATCCAAAAGCATATATTGTTCAGTGGCCTCAGGCCAAGGAAAGATGGTTTCTAGGTACTGTATTTTTCACTCAGTAATACTGGATTGAATTGAATTGATGTATTGTTAGGTTTTGTTACTTGATTTTTATTTTTCTACTTGTAATAATGATATTGATAATATCTTATGTATCTGTTAATGCATGATTAGGTGTCTTTTATTTTAATTATACATTTGATAGCATCTCCCCCCATGAGACCATATCAAAATAGAACCAATGGAACATGACGGGAAATAAAAAGGCAGAGTGGAGAATCTATTATTTAAGGATAGTAATTCTCACCACTATACAATTGTTGCATAGTTCCTGGTATGCTTTTGTGACCTCTTTGTCTTACACTCCTGCTGTCCAAAATTTGCTATAGCATGTATGCTTTACAACAACAACAACACACACACACACAGAAATTAGGATTGCTAAACTGTTTTAACAATTTCATATGTTGTCATGGATTGAATTGTGTCCCCCAAAAATGCCTGTCAGCTTGACTGGGTCATGATTCCCAGTATTGTATGATTGTGTAATCTGATGTGATTTCCTTATGTGCTGTAAACTCTATCACTATGATGAGGTTATATGTGATCTCCTTATGTGCTGTAAACTATATCACTATGATGAGGTTATACTGATGACGTCTACAAGATTATAGACAGTGTCTTAATCCAATCTCATTAGAGATATAAAAGACAGAAGTGAACAGAGACACATGGGAACCTCATACCACCAAGAAAGCAGTGCCAGGAGCAGAGCACGTCCTTTGGACCTGAGGTTCCTGTGCAGAGAAGCTCCCAGACCAGAGGAAGATTGATGACACGGACCTTCCTCCAGAGCTGACAGAGAAAGCGTTCCCTTGGAGCTGACGCCCTGAATTTGGACTTGTGCCTACTGGACTGTGAGAGAATAAACTTCTCTTTGTTAAAGCCATCCACTTGTGGTATTTCTGTTAGAGCACCACTAGATGACTAAGACATATATGCTGTCATTTGATACAACTGTAGACACCTGGGATGAATGCTGGGCTAGCTGGGTTTAGCAGGCTCCTCAAGGTTAAAACTAAGGTAGGTGGACCAAGTGATGAGGTTGTTTATTTTTTCTCTTTACATAACATCTGTAGTGGGCATCTATGGGGTTGGTTGCTTGGTACTTCTTTTCTAAGAAGTGCTCCATATCCCCATTCATGTGGTTACTTATGGAAATAGCCGAGTTAGTAGATTATGACCCTAGCACCTGGGCAGGGAGCTGGGTGAGGGCGTACCTGGTAAATCAGCAGGTCCAATCATATGATTTTTCCCAGTTGCCACAGTTCACCAGTGCAGGGGCGTGGGCCAATGAATCCTTTCTCACAACTTTTTGGACTTGGGACGCAGAGGACGCAAAATTTGGGTCAGTCTCTATGTATGTGGCTGTGGTTGTAAGATGTAAAGTTCAGGAGCTTCTTTTGTCATGTGGAGAAAGCCATTGTACAGAGAGAAAAAAGAATGAAGCAATGTACAAAGGAAAGCAAAGATGAGGGGTGGAAGGAAGGAATCATCGTGGCATTGAGTCCCTGGCTATGTATGTCTGGCTGTATATTGGAAGTTGATGGAAGGTGACTTGATTGCACAAAAATCACAAGCTGTCTTTACCAGTGGGTCCCTGGGTGGCACAAACGATTTGTGCTCGACTACAAGCCTAAAAGTTGGCAGTTCCAACTCATCTAGCAGCACCATAGAAGAAAGGTCTGGTGACCTGCTTCTGTAAAGATTACAGCCAAGAAAACCCTATGGAGCAGTTCTACTCTGTAACACATAGGGTCACCATGAGTCGGAATTGACTCAATGGCAATGTTTTTTTTTAAATCCTTATCCATTATTATACCATATACATAACCTGAGAGATTCTTTTGAACTTAATTGTTCTCCCTGAGCCTTCCATTGCTTCAACCAAAAGTTCAAGTAAAAACAAGAACAAAAAAATGTAATTTAATCAAATGTTTATCACAGTATGTTAGGTATGGTAGAGAATAAATAAATATAGTTGATAGAAAGCAAAACAAAACCATCACTGAAAAGGTCCAGACAGTATGAGCAAAAAGTGAAGACGAGATCCCTGCAAGTCAAAAGGTGTTTTCTGGATGCAGGACTGATGGAGAAAGCAAGGAAGGTTGGGTAGAGAGGAAAGAGAAAGCCAAACACCATGCTCCATTTGTAACTCACGAAGTGATTTAAAAAACAAAAAAGCCAACTTAATTCAAATAAACACATTTTTACTAAGCATGGGGTATTCAGAAAATTTAGCATATGATATGGCCCTGCCTCCTGGGAATTTACCATCTTTTGGGGCAAAGCAAAACTTGTTTATATTCTTGAAAGACCCTGTCCCATTACCCTGTTTTATTTCCTCTTTAGAAGCTTTACCACGTTTGAAATTGTTACTTTCTAACTTGTTTGCTGATTTTCCTTTCCTTTCGTTATATAGTAAGCTCCCTAAGGGCAGGGATTTTTGTCTATTTTTATTGTATCCCCATCATCTAAACAGCATCTGGCACACTGCAAGCAGCTCAATAAAAATTCGTTGAATGAAATGAAGAGTCAGGCCACAGGATGAAATCATCTCGACTCTCTGGGCTGGCCAAGACTGTCAAACACAAGGTCGGCTGAGATCAGAAGACAAGTTTTTTTATTAGGTCAGGCACTGGTTGTCAACCTTTGCTTACGATGGCATCACCTGGGGGCACCCTTTGGACATCTGGACCCCTGGCCGCACCCTGGTAAACCCATTGCCGTCGAGTCGATTGCGACTCATAGCGACCCTATAGGACAGGGTAGAACTTCCCCATAGAGTTTCCAAGGAGCGCCTGGTGGATTCGAACTGCAGACCTTTTGGTTAACAGCCGTAGCACTTAACCACTACGCCACCAGGGTTTCCGCTCGCATCCCAGGCCTCAGAATCTCAGAGGGAGGGGGCCCAGGCATCTGTAAAGCTGCCCAGGAGATTGCAACATGCAGCCAAGGGTAAGAACGACAAACTGGGAGCCAATGTGCGTCCTCAAGCCAGGTGAGATAACTGGCCACAGGGCCAGGCCGCGCCTGGCCTCCACCTCACGCCCTGGCCGTGGCGCGTGGTGCATTTATTATCGCAATAACGCGGATTGGAGCCCCCTGCCGCAATAGCCAATTCTGAGACAGGTGAAGTGAGCAGCAAGAGGTTTATTATATATCAATATATAGGAGACAGAGGGGAATAGATTCCTCCAAAAAACCCATCTCCCCCACTGGAGATCGGCTGAAGGCTTTTATAGGGACAGGATTGCGGGTCTTAGAAGTTTGTGATAGTTTCCCTTTGAGGTGGTCATGTCTCAGATGAGTTAATCTTCTACTGGTATTCTTGGGGGTTATCTGGTGACATCCTTGGGGATTATCTGGCGACATCCTGGTTTTTCTTGTCACAAGATGAGTGCTTAGTTTGGTTTTCATGGTTTTACATGGGTTAATCTTAAACCTTTTGTACAGACTGGAGAAACAAGATCATGAGACAATGTGGCAGTTAGCAATGGGGACTAAATAATAGTGAGCTAGGCCTGTGCAGCCTCTTCCACATTTTGTTAACAAATACAGCTAGATCGGTCCTCCTAACAAGAACACACCCAGAGCTGCTCAGGGACCGGAAAGCACCGCACTGGCGGGACTCCAGTTTTCCGCCAATGAGCGGGCAGCGTGCCAGGCGCCTTGTGGCCCCGCCCCAGGCAACCGCGCTGGGAGCGTGCGGTCCTGGGAGCGAGGGCCCGGCTTGCGCTCGCGTTTGCGGTAGCCTCAGCTTCCCTCCGGGATCAGCGCGGGCCTCGCTTCTCCAGAGGCGTGCACTGCGGCCTAGCACGATGAGGCGGGCGGCGCTGCGGTAGGTACTGGGGCCTGGCGGGACGCGGTCTAAGGAGCCCTTTGCCGGCCCTCCGCGCTCCTAGAGAGCCCGGGCGGAAGGAGCGGGCCGCCAGTGGGCGGTGATTAACGCAGTGGGCATTTGGGGAGAAAGTGGGGGCCTGGCGGGGAAGGGCGCCCCGCCGGATGCAAGCCCGCCGGCCTCTGGTGGGGGCACTCCGCCCTCTACTTTAGTGTCTTCAGGCACGGAGTTAACGGGAAAAGTGAAGCATCGCTTTTAAGGGAGGATGTTGGGTGTTCCCTGACCCACATTCCTTGCTCGTCGGTCACCAGGGGTGTGGTTGGAAACCGTTTTGGGGTAGCCTCTAGTCACAAAACTAGTATCTGGATTTCCAGGATACCTCTCCAGCCTTTTGCCCTCTTTGGAGAATATTTTTAGGGTTACATGCCTGGCCCACTTGGACTCTGACTTAGGTGTGTTGTAACGGGGGCAGGGGACTTCTCGGGCTCTCAAGGGGCCTCAGGGCTGTGTGCTGATTTCAACTTTACCTTTAATGAGCAGCAAGGCCCCTGTTTGGGGGTCGGGGGTTGGTTGGGCCGCTTGGATGAGGAGGATGCCTTTCCCCCCCACACGGAATCTTCTCAACTGGCACAATTATGGCCTGATGGCTTCAGGCTCCAGGGCATATCTGGCTCTCCCCCACCCCACTTCACCCCACCCCTCCAGCCCTTCCAAGTAGCTGGGTCCCAGGGTGCTCCCCGCTGCTTTGGCTTCTGAAGTCATCAGTGTGTGGCCCACATGGTGATGGACACTGATCCCATCATGTTTCTTGGGGGTTCTGGATCTCTCTCACTGTCCCTGCCAACCTTGCTGCTGTCTCTGCTGTCACTCTTAACCAGTTGAAAAAAGACTCTCTTGCTCTTTTTTGTGTACAGTACAAATAAAAACTTTGTTACACTTTATTTGAAGACAAGTTGACAGTCATTACAAGATGGGCCACAGTTGGCATTAGTCTGCATTGGCTGTGATGTGAATTAAGTTTTACAAGCTCCATGGTTTTGCCATGTGTCTTTTCTTGAAACCTTTCTTGATCGCCTCTACCCCAATTTGGAAGTCCTCTTTCTTTCCACTTACTCCCCTAATCCTGGGCTCCTTTCTTGTGAGTCCTGTTGAACCTTAAGTGGGTATACTCTTTGTCAGTGTCTAGTGAGAGAGAGAAGGAATTCATCAGTGAATACAGACTTATGCTTGAGATGATTAGATTATATGCCTGATGGGCAACCTTTATAGCTTTTTTTTTAAGACTCACAGAAGAGTCACTTGACTTTGTTTAGCCTTTAAATTGAGGGATTTCTGCAAAGTGGAGGACATAATGAGTGGCATTGCTTATTATTGCACTGAAAACTCTTCCTTGCTTGGGGCCCAGGACAGAGCCCAGACACTTGGGCTCTTTGGTCTCCTTTCTTTGGAAAGGTTCAATCATAGAATCCTAGGGCCAGAGTGTCCCAAAGGTATCTTGACAGTTTCTTCTAAAGGTCTAAATGTTTTGCTATGACTCCCGAGGTACCAAGGTGTCGGGGTAACGATTATTCTCCTACCTCCTCCACCTCAGTGCTACATATATGAAAGGAAGCAACCTGGGAGTATGAAAAGAGCCACTTGCCTGTGTGTGTGTGTGTGTGTGTGTGTGTGTGTGTTGGCGGGGGATGGGGGAGGGTGGGGGATGTCAGAAGAACTGGGTTCTATCTGAACTATGCCAGTGTGCCAGTTGACTAGCACTGGGGAAAAGTTATCTAATTTCCATGGGCCTCATTTTCTTCAGGAGGTTGGTTTCAATCCGAATTTTTAAATATAGGGGCCCATGGGGGTGTCAAAGGTGGTCTATGAGCCTTCTGAAATAGTATATACTAATTTGTGTGTCAGTAAAAATGTGTTTTTTTACCTTCCTAGTGTGAGGGTCCACAGTTTTCATCAGATTATCAGTAGGTAAAACCAAACCCATTGCTACTGAGTTGATTCTGACTTATAGCAACCCTACTATATCAGTAGATAGGGTACCAAATTGTAGTGAAAAGTTACCATTAGCTGAATGCTATGTTCACAATATAATAAGAGATTTATTATACCAATAAATGAATGGTATAATCTACAATTTTAAACAGTGTTTAGATCATGCCTTTGTTTTGCCACAGGGATATATTTCCAAATTTCTTAAGGCAGCATGCAAAGAACAAGGCTGTAGGACCACAATTTTCCAAATAAATTGGCCCAAGTATTTCTCTGTATTCATCAGCTCCTTTCTTTACTATCTCCATTTGGTTCTACATTCAAAGATGGTCCATCATAGTGCCTGGTTTACCTTCTCTGAATTTCTGGTTCTTTTTGACGTCTAGGGGAGACTTTGGAGAAGTTTCACTTTTTGGAATAATAATAGCTAACATTTTTTAGGACTTGTCAGTGTACTAGGAACTCTCCTAAGGGTTTAACATGTCTTAACTTCTTTATCCTTATGACAGTCTTATGGGATAGGTACTATTATTATCTCCATTTAACAGATAAGGAAACTGAGGCTCAGAGAAGTTTGGTAACTTGCCGAAGTCACTCAGCTAACAAACAGTGTGGTTGGGCTCCTCACCTCTATTTTATACTGCCTCTCACACAGGCAGGATGGGATGATTTTCATCACTCTTCGGAAAATGCTGCTGCTTAGGATCACAAAACAAAAATGCTTTTGCATATGTGTATTTACCCAAGTATATGAGATCAGTTATATTGCTCCTGTTAGTCTATGATGAGTATTGCAAAGTATTCAGCCGTTCAAAGTCAGATCCCATTTCTTATATTGGGTATATCTAATGTATCCATTGTAATTGCTAATTAATGTATTTAGGGCATGATTTATTTGGTCTTTCAGCTAATGGTAGCAATGGAAAAAACTAGCTTTTTCCAGTGTGCTTTTTAAAACCAGATACATTCAATTACAGAATGCTAGTTTCTGAGATGGCAGAATGAAGGAATAACATACCCCTCTTCCTTCAGTAAGGGATTTGAACCTGCAGAAGATAACATAAAATAGTGAAAAATAAATAGAAGATTCAAATAAGGTTCTGAGAAAATACAAATTAGATGGTCAACAACAAGAAGACCACAGTATTAACCTACATACAAAAGTGCAGAAATGAAATTTTTTTTTGTGGAAAAAAAAAGCGAAAATACATGAAATAGAGGCTTGTTAGCTTTGTGATTGAAGCGTAAACACAAAACTAAAACATAAAACACTCCAGAAAGCATTTTGGTCTTAGTGGACCAGCAGTGATTGTATTGCAGCCAGGGAGATGACTAGATAAATAAGGTGTTTACTTAACTAGCGAGAATGTGCTCATATTTATGTATTCTTTGCAGTTAGGTTAGCTGACTTGGTGATAGAACAAGAATTTGTTCTAGCAGCACAAGTGTTAAAACTACAAGTAAATTTTACAAAATATTTTTACTGAGAGACTATTCCTGAATGCTGTAATCCAGAAGAATAATCTATAGTGACTTGGGCTCTAAAAATAATTAAAAGTATACCTTTTTTTTTTTTTTTTTGGCTAGTCGTTACTTGTCCTGACATTGGGTAGTGAGAATTTACTAGGAACCTGAGATAGAATGAGGTGACAGTGTCCGGGGTTCTTGAGCTCTTCAGTGTCTTGCCTTCAACTGAGCTCACAACCAAGCCAAAACCAAACCCACTGCCTTCAAGTCGATTCCGACTCATAGCGACCCCATAGGGTTTCCAAGGCTGTAAATCTTTATGGAAGCAGACTGCCACATCTTTCTCCCACGAAGCTCAATAGTAGTATTGTGTAGCCAGTCTAGACAGTAGTTTAAGCTAATATTAATGAGGTGACATACTTGAACCTGTTTGCTTCCTTCTAGTCCGAGCTGCTGATGGCATTGAGATAGCAGCCTTTGATCCCTAGGATAAGCTACTGTTATCAGGCCAAATAGTTACCGTTGCTGTTTACAGATGGCATCTTTATATATGAATTTTATAAAACAAAGTCGAATATTTTTTGTGTTGCCATGGTTAAGAGCCAGTTCTTAATAGTGAGCCAAAATCAAGTTCAACAATTTATTTTGGGAGGAAAGGTTAGGCAAATATTGGGGAAATAGCTTTTATTTTATTCTATTGAGGGCTTAGGAAATTTCTGTATAAGTCCAATAAATACTCTCTTTGAGTCTGGAAAGGGTTAATTCAGTTTTCAAAGTTGATTAACTTATAATTGGGGTTAACTTATTGAGGAAATACGGTGTGATAGTAAAGAGCAAAATAAATGTTCATGATTTGTTTGCTCAGCTGTTTACCAAATCGATTCTGGGCTTCTGGATCTAATGAAATAATAGAAAAAGCAATAATAATCCATTAAACCTGGTTGAACCCTTTATTTATTTTGTAGATAATTACCTAATTGGTCTTTGCTCTTAAGAAATGTTTACTCTAGTTGGAGAGATGATTTATGGAGTAGCTCCATATGGAAATATACATATACTTGTGAAACAACTATAGATCCTTCAAAGATAGTATATACTAAGGGTCTGATATGGCCACGTGCTCTGAGAAGAGGCACAAGTCTTTGGGGTTGCCAGGGATGAACCCACGAAACCTACTCTAAGTGTGTTTTATCTTGTTTTACAGGCTTTATACCTTAAACAAGGTACTGCTTACTCCTGGCAGAGGACTGGCTCAAGGATCCCAGGATCCCAAGAATCAAGGACCTCTCCACATTCATGAAGGCAAGGAAGGGTATTTACCTTTTATTTGGATGTGGCAAAAATTCTCTGGGAGGCTTCTAGAATGACAGTTTAGGGAAAATGAGGCATATTAAAGGTAGAGCTTTTACAAACTTCTCATTTATAAATGACTAGGATAGTGTAACAGCTTTGGGTAAAAATCACATTCAGAATTTCACCTATCGTTCCTGGAAGCCTTGGGGGCTAAACTCTTCTAGTTAAATGATCTCCACTTCCTGTGCATAGATACTGAAGGTGGAGGGGGGCGTGGAAAAAAGACCTAACGTATAAGTAAGCGATGGGCCCTTCAGTTGTACCAACTAAATGCTCCTAGTCCCTAGTTTTTGTTAGGGAGACGTTGTTAATCCCTGCTTAATTGAGATTAATTTCAATTACTAATCTGATTTGCAAACTGTGGATAATCTTTATCATTTTAGGAATTTTCATTATAATTAAAATTGTGGCTTCTTTAAAGGGCCCAAATAAATATATGTGTGTATATATCATTTAAAATTCTACTTGCTTTCTTGGCTCTCAGCATCTGCCTCTCTTCTTACACTGACTAAACTAGTATTAATCATTTTATGTCAGTGAGCATCAGTAGTCTGTGTACTGCTTGTAGTACTTTCTGTGCATTCTATTATTCAAGGAAATAAGGAGGAAAAAATCAGAATTAAGACTAATTTACTAATGGTTATTTTTTGCAGTTCTCTATGATTTAATTGTAATTGGAGCTTACATCAAATTTATGGTATATACACAATTGTTTGGTGGAAAAATCAACTAATTTTTCATGATAGTCGAAGTACATGTTAATCTAACCATGTTTGACTTTGATCAGTTAAAAATTATTGGATGAACAAGGATTGCTATTGTTAATAACAATATATATAGTGCTATAACTGGACTATGTATTTTGAAATGCTGGGAAAAAACACATGAACTCAACACTATAGATTTACTTTTTAGTTTTGTATTAATACTGATTATCTACTTTGTTTTTCCTTCATCCATATAGTGTGTTCACCTATACATGTGAATCATGTGTGTGGTAATTAGTATCAACTTTTTTTAAGCACTTACATTTTGTTTTTTGTTTTTTTTCAGGTGAAGGCTTACAGAACAAATAGTTTCTCATGAAACAGTAGTACACATATTGTTTTATGACATTGGTCAGCAACCCCACAACACGTCAGCCCTCTCCCTTCTCGACCTTTTTTTTTTTTGGTGAAAATACGCATAGCCAAAGATACACCATTTCAAAAATTTCTACATTACGTTTTGTTTTTTAGCATTAATTCATTCTTGCACTTTTTCGGGCTATGCGCATTAACTAAAATTAAATCGCATACTTTGCCTTACGTTGACTTAACTCTTTGCTCATTTTTCTGGCTCAAACTTTTCTGACAATTAGGATAGTACAAATATAGGAAAAACACATCATAATGAGGCTCAGATTTGGATATTTTGGTGGCCAAGTATTAGTTCCTGAACTAAGTAATTTGACTTAACCTTGCCCTATAAGAAGATAGGTGTGGATCCTGTTCATAATATCTCCATCTTAAAAGGACTTATCTACTGACACTGGTACAGCCCCGTTGGATGAGTAATTACAGTTACCCTATTTCATTTGTTTATATAAACCCCAGTGATTGGCATAAGGGCATTTGTTTTTTGCACTAAAGGATAGTTCAATAGTTATTTCAGGGTTTCAGGGATCAGAGGCCTGATTCCTTCCCTAAGCTCTTTGTTGTGGCATTAAATGGAAATCTATGGATCTTTAAAGCTTTTGGGCCCATGAATCGCTTTTATAGTTCTTTAGCTCATTGCCATGATCGACTTCTCATATTTATTTGTCTGATGGAGTGACCTCTTTATTTTTGTTTCAGTTCGAGTTAAGTTGCGGGAGATAGTAGGAGCATCCACAAACTGGAGGTATGCAGTCTTGTGTTCATTTATTCTTTCATCCCCAAAGTGTTGTGCTAGGCTGTATTTAGGCTCAGTTGATGGTCTTCTTGTAGGGATGGTGGACCCTGTGCTTGGAGCTGGGTTGAGGGTTTTTTTACTTATGGGAGAAGATCAACAGTTGTGCATACTCATCAGTTGATGTGTCATTGTCATAATGTGATTTACAATGTAGTCTATGTTTTTCATAGTGCATTCAGGCATATTACCTCACTGATTCTCATAACAAAACTTGTGAAGTACTTATGGCATATATTCCTATCCTTTTTTTTTTTAACACATGATGAAACTGAGTCTCAGAGAAATTGAATGATTACGTATCAGAGTTTTTCTGTTATGTCATACAAACTGACTCCTTTATTGCTTCTTGTCAGTTTACAATTAACCAGGTCTTCCGTACCCAGAAAACTTGGTGGATCTTTCTCTTTCTCTTAGTATTTCCCTGCTGTAAAATAGGAAAATATCTTTTTTCGTGCACAGAATTTTGAGGCTAAAATGAGATAAAAAAAAGGCGTGAGTGATCGCTAGACATCTATTATTGATATAGAAATTGTCTAATGACTTCTTTTTAACGCTTATGAAATTTTTAAAATATAATGAAAAGTAGAAAACCTGAACACCTGTGTACCCACCAACTGGATTCAGTAATGCTTAACATTTTGCCATATTTGCTTTATATATGTATATATTTTGGCTGAGCTATTTCTAAGTAAGTTATAGACACTGTGATACTTCAGCATGCATCTCCAGTAAGATACTCGTCTGCATAACAAAGTCAACAGTCATGCATCTCCAACAAATAAGACATTCTCTCACATAGAAAAATTGACAATAATTCCTTAATAGTATGCTACCCAGGCGATATTCAGATTTCCTGAACTGTTCCCAAAATGTCTTTTTTAAAAAACATCAAGGTCCAATAAAGGATTGCATATTGAATTTGGTGCTTATGACTTTTTAGCTCCCTAATTTAGTTGCCCCCCTCCTTTTTTCCCCACGAGCTTGACTTTAAAGAGGCCAAACCATTGGTCTTATAGAATGTTCCACATTCTGGATTTATCTAGTGCCATTTATTCCTCCATTTTTTGTAGACTGTAAATTACATCTGAAAGCTTGATTGGATTCATACTAAACATTTCTGGCAATAATAATTCATAAGTGAAGCTTAGAAAGACATTTTAATTAATGATATTGTTAACATTTTAGTTCCTCATCCCCTTGTCTCTCTTTTCTCTTCCACTTTAACTTTCTCTTCTTTTTCTTCTCTTTCTGTCTCCTTTTTTATGTTCTCTATCACTTTACCTTTTGCTCTGCCTTCCATACTTCTTTTGGATATACTCCATTTTTCTTCCTTTGTCTCTCTCTTCTGAAATTGAAGGCAGAGAGAGAGAACTGTGGCAGAAAGAAAATAAGAATTGTCAAGGTGAGAGATGGGAATATGGAGTTCAGTGGCCATGTCATACTTTAGCCCATATATATGCACTATTGTATCCAGCTCTGTGTATTTTTAATTTGATATCAAGTATTCTATTCTTTAAAGGAGACTTGGTTGCACAATGGTTAAAGTGCTTGGCTGCTAACCAAAAGGTCATGGTTGGAACCCATCACCGGCTCCGTGGGAAAAGAGTCTTTGCGACCTGCTCCTATAAAGATTTCAGCTTTGAAAACCCGATGGGGCAGTTCTACTCTGTCCTATAGGGTCTCTCTGAGTCAGAATTGACTCGACAGTACACAACAACAACATTCTGTTGAGTAAACTTTTTTTTTGAGTACACTTTTTGATGAGGGTGAATATATGATCCTTTTGGGTATATCTGTATTGCTTTTGGAGCCCTGGTGGCACAGTGATTAAGAGCTTGGCTGCTAATGAGAAGTTCAGCAGCTTGAATCCACCACCTGCCCCTTGGAAACCCTATGGAGCAGGTCTCCTTTGTCCTACAGGGTTGCTATGAGTCGGGATCGACTTGATGGCAACGGGTTCGGTTTGGTTTTTTATATTACTTTTAAGTATGTTTTTTCTTATCTACAAGCCTAAGAACTTTTACCAGAAATTTTCAATTTCACCAAGTGTCAGGAGGGAAGGGAAGGATGTAAGAGGAGATGAAGTAGGTCCAAACCTTCTCTTTCCTCCTTTGATGGTATTGACTGGCTTATATTATCACTGGAATTGTGTGATATCATTGATCCTGTGTTTTATGAAGTTTGCATCCTTTTTTCTCAGAGACCATGTGAAAGCAATGGAGGAAAGAAAATTACTTCATAGTTTTTTGGCTAAGTCACAGAAAGCACTGCCACCTAGGAGAATGAAAGACAGTTATACTGAAGTTCTCTTGCCTTTGGGCAGTCAGCCTGAATTACGAGAGAAATATTTGACCGTTCAAAACACCGTAAGGTAACACAACACTATTTTTATTTGTGTTGTTTATTTGTTTTTCTTTTATTTCCTTTTTAAATAACAACTTTGAGATATAATTCACATGCCATTCAGTTCATCACTTTAAAGTGTATAGTTCAGTATCTTTAAATATATTCACAGAGTTGTGTAACCATCATAAAATAAATTTTAGGATATTTTCATCATCCCAAAGTATGTTATTTATTTTTAAAGGAGGATAATCATGATTTTCATTTAATTAACAGTTTGCTTTATTTCGCAGATTTGGCAGGATTCTTGAGGATCTTGACAGCTTAGGAGGTACTGGTATTATTTCAGTATTTTTAATAGATACAGTTACACATTTGAATCCTGTGGTTGGAAGGGACCTTTTTATTCTTTGACCTGCACAGATGAGGATCTCTCATATTCTGAAAGCGCAGATAAGAGTCTCTACTACCTCTGAAATGTCACAATTTTATGTAAACATAGATTCCTATTTAATGGAATTATATATCTGATTAATCCTTTCTAATAACTTTTTAAAAACAATCTTAAACTTACAGAAAAATCGTAAATACAGTATAAAAACTTTTTTTCCCCTGAATCATGTGAGAGTAAGTTGCTGACATGATGCCATATCACCCCCAAATATTTTAATGTGTATTTCCTGTAAACAAGGATATTCTTCTACGTAGCAACAATTAGGAAATTAACACTGATACATTACACTGTCTAGTCATAAGACCCCATTCAGTTTTTGCCAGTGGTCCCAATAATGTCCTTTATAGCAGAAGGATCCAGTTCTGAATCACATGTTGCATTTAGTTGTCATGTCAGGAACAGTTCCTCTGTCTTTCCTTGACTTCCATGACTTTGACACTTTTGAAGTTACAGGCCAGTTATTTTGTAGAATGTCCCTCAATTTGGGTTTGTCTGATGTCTCCTCATGATTAGATTCAGGTTATGCATCTTTGCCAGAAACCTCACAGAAGGGATGCTGTATTCTTATTTCATCCTATCAGATGGTGCATGATTTTGATTTGTCCTATTATAGATGATGTTAATTTTGATTACTTGATTAAGGTGATGTCTGCCAGGCTTCTTCACTGTAAAGTTTATTCTTTTCCCCTATCTAATTAATAAGTAGCTTGTGGGGAGGTACTTTGAGACCATGAAAATATCCCATTCCTCATCAACCTTTCAGTTTATTATTTTTGTAAATCAGTATGGGCTCAGGGATTCCTATTTTATTGAATAGGCTATAATCTGTTACTGCCAGCTATCTTTTTCAAAAATACATTTTTATTGCAGTAAGTACTTCAGTAATAGACATTTGCCATTTCAGCAGTCTTCACGTGTACAGTTCAGTGACGTTAAATAGGTTCACCATGTTCAACCATCACCATTAGCTATTCCTGAAGTTTTTCATCACCCTTAACAGAAGCTCAGTATCCCTAAGTGGTGTGTTTACCTCCTCCCGTCCCCACACTATCATCTATCTTTTTTTTTATATATAATTTTTTAAGTTTTTGTTCTTGTTGAGAATATGCACAGCAGAACATACTACAATTCAGCAATGTTGATTACATTCTTTAAGTTGTGTACCCATTCTCACCCTCTTTTTCCAAATTATTCCCCCCCTGTCAACATAAACTCACTGCCTCCTAAGTTTTATCATCTATTTTGATGCTCAGATTGTCCCAGGACTGTCCCAGTCCCTTTAAGCTGACTTCTGTTTTGTTTTTTTTTTAATTTTTTTGTGGGGGTGCATGGGCCCACTATTCTTTACATACTTTTTCCCTTTGTGGCACAACAAGATGTTCTAGACTCATTTTGTATTTTCCCTGCTCCAGTATTGGAATCAGCCAAATTTCCAAGGGGCCCTGGTTCTTTTTAATGGACAGAGCTGGGGAATATATGTATATACACATACATTTACATCTGTGTTTGTTTCTAAATCTAGTTATATGAAAACCATAGGTTCATGCTGATATCACCATTTTGAGTGCAACACCACAGGATTCGTTTTCATCTCCTCCCCTTCCATATTTGTAATTCCCTTCTCCAGCTGGCTTCATTATGCTTAATATATTTACTTATTTGATCAGTTCCCCTGTAGGTAACCAATTTTATGTCACAGCCACCTCCAGCCCCTCATGGACACTTCCTTCACCTCACTTGGGCTTCTGTATCCTGTGTGCCAGGACCCCCCTGCAGGGTCACCCTCATCATGCTCAGGCTGTCACATACTTGGTCATCAGTCTCATTGCTCCTCTGCATGGACATTCTCCTCACCCTGCTTGGGCTCTGACACCCTGTGTCATGCCACTCTCCCATGCAGGTACCCTCTTCACCTCGCTTGGGCTCCAACACCCTGCTCTAGGCTACCAAGCTTGCTCCCACCTAATGACTTTTGGCCTGAACTGTTGGGAAAGCATTTGAGAAAAGGCTATAATAAATTTTTAGATATTGACATAAGTCCACTGTTAGGCTTATCCTTAGCTACTTTGTTCTCCAGATTAAGTAAACCTAGTTAAAAATTCTTACTGGCCTTTACATTTACATATGTATATTTGACTTTGGTTTACTTAGAGGTCTCTGTGTCCACAAACTCCCTTACCACTGCCCCTGTTTTTTCCTCATTACCTTCTGTTGATGGCCAGTCCCTATCACCTGCTCACTCAATTCTATTCCTAACCCTAACCCTCATCACTTATGCTTTCTCCCTCATCGCAAGCCTGTCCTCAACTTCACTTTTCCTTCAACTTATAAACATTCAAGGCTCTTCCATCTTTAAATGCAAGATAAATAAAACCCCCTTCCCTTATAACACTCTCAAACTGTCTTTCTGTCTCGCTTTATAGCTAACTTTCTGGAAAGAATTGGAAAAAAAATAATTTGCCCTCATTGCCTCTATTTCCTCACCTCCTGTTATTTCTCAGTCTATTGTGCCCTGGCTTCTACCCCTATGTGCTGCTGAATCTGCTCTTGCTAAGCTTACCATTGACCCCTTATCACACAATCTAATAGATACTTTCCACAAAGGCTTTGAAACTGAGTTCTTGCCTTTAACCTCCCATTCCTGTAGTATGCCCTCTAGCAGATGCATGGAAGGAAGGATTTATTATCACTCAACAAACATTTTATTGAGCACAGACCCTGTCCTGAGGGTTGGTGATAAAAATTTGAAAGAATCTTGGGAGAAGTAGGGGGACAAACACATATTTATAATACAATGTTAACTGAGTTGATGTTAATAAGGTGTATAGAACCATGTGTGTCACATATAAATGCTTGTTAAACTATGGCAAGTATACAGATAACCACAGGGTGGTGTAGGAGCTGAGGATGTCATGGGGGAGAAGGGATAACGGAGCAAAATAATTGTTCATGATTAGGAAAGAGTCAGGAGGGAAATAGGTAGCTGAATTCTTGTGATTTGTTTCTCTTTTCTGAAGATGTTTGTTTGATACTGTCAGACTCAGGTGCTGGATTCTTATTCTGATTTAGGAACTGTGTCTCTGTGGAGAGATGACAAGCCACTTGGTAGTCCTGGGCTTTGGGCTTGGGTTTCATTTCCTCACATCTGAAATTAAGGGAGCAGTTAGATTAGAGGATCTTCAGATCTCTTCAATTTATGAAAGTCTTTAATCATAGAATAAGGTCACTGGTAGAATGTGGGGAATTGGGTCTTCAAAGCAAAACAAGAATTTTTATGGATTTCAGGGAGTAAATTGCAAATGTTGAGAAATAATTTTGCATTTCCTCTGTTTGCTATTCTCCTGTTTTCCTATAGTTCTTATTTGCTACAAGCACAGCAAAATTCAAGCAACTCAGGCATCTCCTTTATCCATAGTTACAGCCCTGGTGGACAAGATTGGTAAGCAATATCATTTTCTATGTGTACTTACAATTCTTAGTTAGTAGGTGATATTCTTGAGATTAGGGGAAATATTATTCTTTTGTGGGGAATTTTTATGGTATATATGTGTATGAAAATGTCTGGAATGCTATATACCAAAATATTTATTATAATTATTTTTGAGTAGACAGGTTTTGCGTGATTCCAGTTTTATTTTTTATAGATTTTTTTTACATTTTAAAAGAGTATTTATTTCTTTTGTATGTCAACAAAGTTATTTTAGTTTTGAAGACAAGAAAGGTATGTAGTGGAATTTGCCAAAATTCAAGTGAAACTGTCCATGCATTAAAACAAACAAACAAACCTGTTGTCGTCGAGTCGATTCTGACTATAGCGACCCTATAGGACAGAGTAGAACTGCCCCGTAGAGTCTCCAAGGAGCGCCTGGTGGATTTGAACTGCCGACCCTTTGGTTAGCAGCTGTAGCACTTAACCACTACACCACCAGGGTTTCTTATCCGTGTATAGTACAGAAAATTTCTAATATGGTTTGGGTACATATTGATTTCCTATTTTGCAGATATGTGTAAGAAGAGCATAAGCCCAGAACAGGACATTAAGTTCAGTGGCCATGTTAGCTGGGTTGGGAAGACATCCATGGAAGTGAAGATGCAGATGCGCCAGGTGTGTATGTTCAGTGAAGGAAAAGCTTATTGACCTGTTTATCCACAGACAGGTGTATAGCTTACCACCTCTAGAAAAACAATTGCAAATTCATATCATATAGATGATGGGTTATTAATATTCTCCTCCTGGACAAAGATTGACACATTATTTGGTGTTTATAGTCAGTGTTTATTTTTTCCAAATCATATACAGGTCCATGTTAAGGTGCTTGTTTCTGGTTTTGCCCAGGAGAATTTCACAAAAGTCTGAGTTATGTTAGGCATGAGTGGAAGTGGTCATATAAACTACTATAGCAGGTAGGAACAGCCTCTTTTATGAGCAAAACTCAGAATAACTATTATAAAGAAATGAAGAAATTTGACAGGAAAAAGTACTCCAAAGAAGATAGTAGCACAGAAGTTAAATATTTCAGAGTATGTCCGAGAAGTTTATGTATATTTACATATATGTATATATACATATATATTTATTTATTGTTGAAAATATACACAAGAAAACATACACCAATTTAACAATTTCAACGTGTATAGTACAGTGACATTGATTATATTCTTCAAATTGTATAGCTATTCTCACCCTCTTTTTCTGATTTGTGCCTCCTTTATTGACATAAACTCATTTCCCCCTAAGTTTCCTGTATAATCTTTTGAGTTGATGTTAACAATTTGATCCTGTAAAGTAAGTTTTTTAAAAGAGCACAAAGCTCATGGTGGATATTCCTTACTAGTTAAGCTAGACAGTTGTTGGGTTTAAAGATGGCTTCAGGGGATATTTTTGGTTCATGGTTTTGGGGTTAAAGATCATCTCAGGGCTGCAGTCTTGGGAGTTTATCCAGCCTCACTGGCTCCAGAAAGCCTGGATTCCATGAGAATTGAAATTATCTTCCACATTTTTTTCCCCCTTGTGATCAGGATTTTCTTATAGAATTTTTGATCAAAATATTCAGTAATGATAGGTGGGCACCATCCAGTTGTTCTGGTCATGTGGCAAAAGAGGTAGTTGTTCATGGAGGCAATTAGCCACACATTCCATATCCTCCTCCTCCTCTTCCTGACTCTCCTTTTTCATCTGTTGTTAAAGGTGAATAGAGGCCAATTGTTGTACCTTGGATGGCTGCTTGCAAGCATGTCCAAGATTTTTAAAATGAAAAATAATAAAGTTGCTGGAAATGCTGCTGTGATATGTTCACCTTCTTTTTTAATCTTCATAGTTGATTCCTGGCCTGCTCAGTGCCATGCAAAGTAGAGTCCTGGCATAAGACCTACTTTCTAGGGAATCTTGACAATTTGAATCTTGGAAAAGAGATACAGGAATTATTGGGAGGAGAGAGCCAATGAAACTCAATGTCAGATAGATGAGTAAAAACTTTTGTTTTAAATTTATATTTCTCTTTGGCCGTTTTGACTGTTAACTCATGACTTTAGTGATCTTTTATATTCCAGAGAGGTAGCTTGGAGATAAGTGCTTTGCCTCTGGTGTTGGGCAGACCTAGGTTTGATTCTCACCTCTGCTGCTTTTTAGCCACATGACTGGGCAAATTCCAACTAGATTTAAGTTACTTACCTTCTTCGAGCCAATGTTTTCTCAAGTGTAGCATGAGAATAATAATACTGTATTTTTATGCAAATAATTCATGCCTTCTATGTTTTTTTGCCAACTGCACCCCCCCCCCCGCAAGGTATTTTCATAAGTGCTGCTATGCCAATTTTTTTTTACATGTAGCTGTAAAAAAAAAAATATATTAGCATAACATGCTTACGAAAATACCTCGCAGGGGGGAGGAAGTGGTTGACAAATGTAGAAGGTGCATGTTATTCATGTAAAAATACAGTAGTACCATAGCATATGGTTGTGGTAAAGGTGAAGTGAAAAAAGCATATGAAGTACTTGGTACAGTGCCTGAAGTACAGTAACGACTAATCAAATAAATGTTAATTTATTATTATTTTTACTGAGATGGTTCCAAATCTCTATTCTAGGCTTGAACTTCAGAACCACTTTTTTGAGTGCCTGTTGTGTTTCTCCACCTAGATGTGCTGTAGCTACCTCAAATTCAGTGCATTCCAAACTGAATGCATGAGTTTCCTTCCCAGTCCTGATCCTCCTCCAGTTTCCCCTTTGCCATCCTCCTATTTCCCCAGCTCCAAACCTTTGTGAGAGCTTTAAGTTTTTCCTTTCGTGTACATCCTTGTGCCAAGTCTTACACATTCATCACCACAGCAACTCACCCCTTTGGTCCCTGTGTTTTATTCAAGCCCTCACTGCCTCTTGTGTGGGTGACTTAAATGTATTTTAATTAGTTCGCCTCCCTCTAGTCTACTCTCTTTCTCTCTGTTAATTTTACAGTTTTACCAGATAAACCTTCCAAAGCTGATCTTGAATCACAAATCTCAAAAATCTCCAGTGGATTAAAGTCTAAACTACTTTGATTGATCTGGATCCAAGGTGCTGCATAAACTAGCTCCAACCTACCTTTCCAACTAGGTTTCCTCTGACTTTTACATACTTCCTTACTGCTCACTGCTGGACACTGAGCATCCTAAGAGAAGGAAGTTACTCATCTTTGCATTCCTCATCCTTGCCACTTAGTAGGTGTTCGTTTTAATAAACCATAATTTAAACAGTAAGTGAATAAATGAGTATCATTGCTTATGCTTTTTCCTTTGTCTGAAATTTCTTGTGCTCTGACTCTGCATATCCAGATTCCATGTGGGCTTCAGGGTCACTTCATGCTCAAAGCCTTCCCCGATTCTCCCCGCTCCTAGGACTCCCATAGCATCCTTTTTCTGACACTCTTTCCTGGCACCTGTACCCTCTGCCCTATAGAGCTGTGTATGAACATGTGTTTTCTCTTCTACTAGACTATATGCTTCTCAATAACAGGATCTGGGTTCGAGTCACCTAGCCCACTTCTGGCATCCATTTATTTAACATTCAGCAATTATTTATTGAGTGCCTATTCTATGCTAGGCATACAGCAGTGAGGAAGACAGACAAAGTTCCATTCTCTTGTAGTTTATGTTTAGTTGTTGTTGTTAGGTGCTGTTGAGTCCATTCCGACTCATAGCGACCCCTATAGGACAGAGTAGAACTGTCCCATAGGGTTTCCAAGGATCAGCTTGGTAGATTTGAACTGCTGACCTTTTGATTAGCAGCCCAGCTCTTAACCACTGCGCTACCAAGTCTCCTTACATTTAGTAGTGCTCATTAATTACCTACCTCACTCATTCATTCATCAGTTGGCAAACTTTGGATTTTTTGGGTATCTGCTATCTGCCAGTCTTTGTGCTAAGTGCTAGGGATACAAATGTGAATAAAAATGGTCTTTGCCATCAGGGAGCTCACAGTGCAGTAGGAAGACAGCCATATAAATAGATAATTATAGTATATTACGTAGTGTTCTCAACAGGGAAGCTATTGGCATTTATGTGGGAAAATTCTTTTGTTCTTCAGAACTGCCCCTGCATTGAAAGGTATTTAACTCTCTGGTACCCCCTTGTTGATGTTGTTAGGTGCTGTCGAGTCAGTTGCAACTCATAGCGACCCCACGTACAGCAGAACAAAACACTGCCCAGTTCTGAGCCATCTTCACAGTCGTTGCTATGCTTAAGCCCATTGTTCCAGCCTCTGTGTCAATCCCTTGTCAATAGTACCCCACCCCCGCCGGGTCATGTGATAAAATCATCTACACATTTCCAAATGCCTCCTAAGGGGGTAGTCTCTACCTCCCTTACATTAAGAACCACTGACAAAGAGAATTTTTTTTCCCATTAAGGTGGCAGAACAAAGGAAGGAATGACTATTTTTGGGGAATAGGGATGGGGCAGGGGAGAGAAGGAGTGTCTTGAAGAGTGAGGCTTCAAGGAAGGAATCAGGCAAAGGCATGGAGGGGAGGTATTCAACAGCATGATACATTCCAGGACTTCTGAGTTGTTAGCTGTGGCTAGGGGAAAAGGTGCAGGTATGAGGGGAGTGTTTGGTGAACAGTTGGAGAGGGCTCCTGGGCTCTCTTATGGAGGGCTTTATATATAATGCTGACAAGATCACACCAGATGCTAGAAGAAAGGAGAAGCCACTGAAAGGTTTTCAACAGGGCAGAGGCGCGATAAGATTTGTGAGGCTGTGGTAGATTATTGGAGGGGTAAGACTGTACCCACAGTTGAGGGGGAAGGTGATAAGGGCCTGAACTGGCAGTAGCAATGAGGACTGACTTGTATTGTCTGTTGATAGGTGAACCTAATATATCCTTAGTTTAAAAATAACTTCTGTCATTACTTTAAGGAGCCTGGTGGAGTAGTGGTTAAGCGCTCAGCTGTTAACCGAAAGGTTGGTGGTTTGAACCCACCAGCTGCTCTGTGGGAGAAAGATGTGGCAATCTGCTTCCATAAAGGTTTTTTTGGATCATTACTTTATGATGGGACTTTCCTGGAAGTACAGACTTCTAAGGATAAAGAAACACTTTAAAACCTCGAAGGCCTGTGTATTGTAAATATTTAGCTTAATCCACAGAATTATCACCGACCTTATCCCTTCTTGGGAGCCCCTGTGCTCAGCAAAGAAAACATAAACATGTGCTGGTAGTCAGCACACTAAAGTTCCCTAAAAAATACTCATGTCTATGAAAGCCCTGGTGGTGTAGTGGTTAAGCACCCAGCTGCTAACCGAAAGGTTGGCGGTTCAAACCTGCCAGCTGCTTTATGGGAGAAAAGTCTTAGTGATCTGCTCCCGTAAAGATTACAGCCTGGGAAACAGTCTGCATCTACCAGCTTCTCCTTGGAAACCCTATGGGCAGTTCTGCTACGTCCTATAGGGTCGCTAGGAGTTGGAATCAACTAGATGGTGCACCACGACAACAACAACATGAAAGCAGTAGGAGGTGCACCTGGATATGTGTGCCATTGGGAGGCCAAGTATGCCTGAAGAAAGCCAGAATTCTGTGTAATGGGGGAAAGTTGAATGCTGATGATGCAGAAGGTACCCTTTCCCTTGGGTCGCAGTCATGCATAGCTCCAAAGCCCGTAGTCCGTGCCCCTTTCTCAGCACTAACCACACAGTTCTTTGTTTGGGTTTTTAGGTATCTTTCTCGTCCACTAGACCACAAGCTCCTTGATCATCCTGCCATTCTCAGAGCCTAGTGCTGTGCCTGGCCCAGGGTAGGCAACTCTGGAGGCGGTGGTTAATAAATGCACTTCTCTTTTTCTAATTTCAGAGTTACTGAAACATGCAAGGTATCTGTTAGAATTGTAGGTCATCCCAGTAAATGCATTTCTTACATCTGCATTTTCTTTGTTTTGTTCTTTAGTTACATGGCGATGAATATAGTCCTGTTTTGGATGCAACGTTTGTAATGGTGGCTCGTGATTCTGAAAATAAAGGGTAATTGCTCTCCCCCCATTCTTTATTTTGAAACATTTCAAAGATACATAAAACTGGAGAGAAGACTATAATGAATTTCCATATACCTGTCACAGTTCACCCATTTAAAGTGTACAGTTTAATGGCTTTTAGTATATTCACAGAGTTGTACAACCTAAGTATGTTTTAATCTAGAACAGTTGTGTGTCCCCTCTGCACCTTTATTATTTCATGTTATTAACTTGTTGAAAGGCTGGATTGGTGGTTCTAGACAGTGTCCCACTTTCTGGGTTTGTCTCATTGCTTCCTCATGGTGTTTTTTGACTTGTTTCTCTATCCTTAGTATTTTCTATAAACTGAAGTTTCATCTAAACCTTGATTAGATTCAGGTTCAACATATTTGGCAAAGGTACTTCATAGGTGATGCTATTTATCTCATATTGCATCATATCAGGAGGCACAAGTTGTCCCATTACAGTGATGGTAAGATTAACCTGTGAGTTCAAGTGGTGGCAGCCTGATCTGTCCATTGGGAGTAACCAACACGGTGATACTTTGTCATCTTGTGAATAGCTAGATCCCGATCAGTCTTTCTCCAATGCTTTTTGAAACTTTTTTTTTTCTCTATCTCCAATGCTTTTAACATCTATTGCTGATCATTGCTTTAATCATTTTCATTGGGGAGCGTATAAGGATTTTCAGATTTTGTCATTCCTACATTCATTAGCTGAAGTGCTATGAAGAAGAGCTTTCTCATCAACTAGGGCAATTTGGTTTGTAAAGGAAAGTCAGGATCAGTGCTTCATTCTTGTCCTTTATTTACATCTTTTTAGGATAAAGAGTTAGTTTACTAGCTAGTAATGGCATGATTTTTCCACTTTTTCTGGCTTTTTTTTTTTAAAAAGTATCATTATGAATTCATGGATTTTTATATATTCAGTGTATTTCATAAATTACAGTCGTTATTCTTCTTGATGCTCAGAGTGTTACCATTTTTGGCCAGTTGGCGCTCCTTTAAGCCAGCTCCTGTGTCCTTTTGATGTATCTCCATTAGTCTTTGATGGCTTCCTTGTTCTCTGGCACAACAAGATGTTTTAGACTTATACATTTCCCACCCTGGACCTGGAATCAGCCATTTCTCCAAACTGGTATTTAGACACCAAAATCTGGACACTAAGACTGTACATTGTTACTGAGTCATTGTGTATAGGCCTTTTCAGTGGACAGAGCTAGGATGTATGTTAAAAACCAACCAAAAAAAAAATCTCAAGAGTTTTTACTGTTATTTCCAAGTTAAGTTTAACCATACAGACAAACTTATTTGACTATGTTTTTTCTCTTACGCTGAATTCTTGGTTCCTAACAACAGTAACACAGTTACTAGTTTTTGCTTTATCCTATGATATACATAAAATGGTTTCATAATAATAATGCCAGTATTATTACTAACAATGAGTCTACTGAATAAAGTTTTAAGATTTCTGTTCAGTTCTTCTTGTCCTTAGAATGCCTCCCATTGAGGATATATAGTCAAAAGACACTTGAAATATTTTTTCTCTGTGCGGCTATGTTACCAACTTGATATACAGTTAAGGTCATTTGCTTCTTTGTTCAGTTCGTAGAGAGTGCTTTTTTTCTTTTTTGATTGAATTTTATCCTTTGAAAATTTAAAACATTTATGCAATTCAAAAGTCAAAACTATATAGTAGGGTATATTTAGAGAATTCTTGGCTTTCATTCTTTTCTTTTGTACCCTGTCTTAGTCATCTAGTGCTGCTATAACAGAAATACCACAAGTGCATGGCTTTAACAAAGAGAAATTTATTTCCTCACAGTAAAGTAGGCTGCAAGTCCAAATTCAGGGCATCAGCTTCTCTCTCTGTCGGCCTTCTCATCAACGCTCCCCCAGACTAGGAGCTTCTCTGCGCAGGGACCCCAGTCCAAAGGACACACTCTGCTCCCCTGGCACTGCTTTCTTGGTGGTATGAGGTCCCCCCTGTCCCTCTGCTCACTTCTGTCTTTTATATCTCAAGAGATTGCCTCAGGATACAGTCCAATCTTGTAGATTGAGTCCTGCCTCACCAACACAACTGCCGCCCATCCTCCCTCATTAACATCATAGAGGCAGGATTTACAACATACAGGAAAATCACACAATACTGGGAATCATGGCCCAGCCAAATTGATACACACATTTTTGGGGGGACATAATTCAGTCCATGACATACCCCCTTCCTTTTATCTACCTATAGGTAACTATTATTTTTGGTTTATCCTTTCAGTGTTTCTGTATGCAAATACAAGCAAATATGTGTGCATATTTGTATCCCCCTGCTGTTTTACATGAAAAATAGCATGTCACATATATTGTTTTGTACTTTTTGCTGCTTTTTAAAAACAGATCTATCAGTATACTCAGAGATTACTCCATAGCAGTACATAAAAATCTTTTTCATTTTTTTTACAGCTGTATAGTACTCTGTGGTAGGGATATACCACAGTTTATTCAGCCAGTCTCCTATTGATGAACACTTGGTTTACTTTCATTCATTTGCTGATCCAAGTAATGCCCCATAGGATTTCCAGGGAGTGCCTGGTGGATTCGAACTGCTGACCTTCTGGTTAGCAGCTGTAGCTCTTAACCACTATGCCACCAGCGTTTCCCCACAATGAAAAATGTGGTCATATTGAATTTTTCCCAATGAATTTTTGGTACAGAGCTCTAGCATTGGGATTGCCTTTACTAATTTGACAAGTGTTGAGATTGCACATTATTCTGCACCTTTTGTCGTCTTATATCATCTGTTAACTGGCTCTCAAGCTTAAGAAATTTTTCAAAAATCATTGAAAGTGTTACTTTTTAATAGGAATGTTTCTTAAAAAAGATTTGTCTATATCAAATTCTTTTAAACCTTCCCATTTTTCCTATTGGCTTATATTATGCTGTCAGAAGAGCTTTAACCTTCTTTTTGGTTGGTCTTGCTTTGGCTAACTCCCTAACCACTCTCCTTTCCTCCCTTCTGCCAGTAGGTTTATGATCTTTAGACTCTCAGAGTCACCTGAGGCACTCAAACTGAGAAAAATGCTCTAGTTGTGGGGAAGAGATTGGAGGCAGGAGTGTTACAGGATTGCTGTTTGTACAGGACAGAGAATAGAGGCCTGTAACAAGTGTAATTTGTACCAGAAACTTGATTTAGGAGTCTGCAATGAGAAATCTTTTCTGCTGCGTGGAAAGCTGACTTGGGAAATCAAGTTAAGATTGAAAAATACCTTGGTGAATCTGTGATCTAACTGAAGAAAAAACACCCATCTACTCCTGCTCCCCCCACTATCCCCAACTGGCCTGCTGCTCCTAGTGGCTGCTGGGGCTCCTTTGCAAGCACTGGGGGCAGGGCTTAATGTTTCTCTCCCAGCTGATGCATTTCAGTTTTCCAAGCTGCAATTTCAATTCTTTTGTTTCCATTGTTGTTTCTATCAGATAGCTTTTAACGGTGGTAGAGCTCTCCTTGAAACCACTTTTCTTGAATACCTTTGGATTCTTATTGGCATTTAAGAGTGTTTACATCCATCACAATGAAGTACTATCCTTTTTCACCCAATTGTTTATTTTGAAAAATTTGACACCTGCAGAACAGTAGAAAGACTAATGCAGTGAATACCCACATACCCTTCAGCTAATTCACCAATTAACATTTTACCGCATTTTTCCTACTCTCTTACTCTAACTTATAAGTACACAGATACACATTTTTTCCCTGACTCATTTCAAAGTAAGTTTCAGATACTTCACCGATAAATAGTTCAGCATGCACCGATAAATAGTTCAGCATGTATCTCCTTAGAACAAGGTAACTCTCCTATACAACCTCAGTGCCTTTATTATATCCAAGGAATCTAACAGTGATAAAATAATACTAATATTCAATTCATATGCAAATATTTTCAGTTGTCCCTATAATATCTTTTATAGCTTTATCCCCTGACTCAGAATCCAAGAAGGATCGTGTGTTGCATTTGATTATCATGTTTCCTTAGACTCTAATCTAAAATAGTCCCCCTACTATTTTCTGTCTTTCAAGATACTGACATTTTCTTTTTTTCCCGTGATTGATGCTTTTTTTTTTTTTGGGTTAAAGTTCCCTTGACTTGATAATTTTTTTTTTATTGTGCTTTAGGTGGAAGTTTACAGCTCAAGTTAATTTCTCATTCAAAAATTTATACACATATTGTTTTGTGACATTAGTTACAATCCCCACAATGTGACAGCACACTCCCCCTTTCCACCCCTGGTTCCCTGTGTCCACTAGACCAGTTCCTGTCCCTTCCTCCCTTGTCATCCTGCTTTTGGACAGGAGCTGCCCATTTGGTCTCATGTATCTGATTGAACTAAGAAGCACATTCCTCACGTGTATTATTTTTTGTTTTATAGTCCTGTCTAATCTTTGAAGAGTGGGCTTCAGGAATGGTTTCAGTTCTGGGTTAACAGTGTGTCCAGGGGCTGCTGTTTCGGGGGTTCCTCTAGTCTCTGTCAGACCATTAAGTCTGGTCTTTTTATGTGAATTTGAGTTCTGTTCTACATTTTTCTCCTGCTCTGTCCAGGACTCTGTTGTGTTCCCTGTCAGGGCGGTCATTGGTGGTAGCTGGGCACCATCTAATTCTTCTGGTCTCAGGCTTGTGGGGTCTCTGGTTTTTGTGTCCCCTTTTGTCTCTTGGGCTAATATTTTCCTTGTGTCTTTGGTGTTCTTCATTCTCCTTTGCTCCAGGTGGGTTGGGAACAACTGAGGCATCTTAGATGGCCGCTTGCCAAGCCTTAAAACCCCAGATGCCACTCACCAAAGTGGGATGTGGAACATTAATAAACTTTGTTATGCCAGTTGACCTAGGTGTCCCCAGAAACTATGGTCTCCAGACCCCCACTGCTGCTACTCTGTCCCTCAAAGTGGGTGTGTCCAGGAAACTTCTTTGCTTTTCCTTTGGTCCAGTTGTGCTGCCTTCCCCTGCAAGATACTGACATTTTCGAAGAGTTTAGGCCATTTGTTTTGTTGAATGTTCCACAATCTGTATTTGACTGTTTCCCCATGATTAGACTCATGTCAAACATTGACAAGAGGCAGTATCCTTTTTATAATATGAATTTTTTAGTGTATAGGTAAGTCCGTAACCAAGAGAATCCCTTAATTGTTCCAGTGTTTTTGTGTGGAGCAGTCAGTAAGCATTATCCAAAACAAATAGGTGAAGACATTAAAAGTAGTGGATAATTGTTCATCTTCACCTTTTATTAAATAATAGCATATTTTAAACTATATTATTTTCTTTTTTTAGTAATTTGTTTTATTTTTGTTGTTGTTGTTGTTGAGAATATACACAGCAGAACATATACCAATTCAACAGTTTCTACATGTACAATTCAGTGACATTGATTACATTCTTTGAGTTGTGCAACCTTTCTCACCCTCTTTTTCCGAGTTGTTCCTACCCCATTGACAGAAACTCACCGCCCCCTAAGTTTCCCATTTAATCTTTCGAATTGCTGTTGTCAGTTTGATCCCATATAGGTAGATCTTAAAACAGCACAATGCTCAAGATAGACCTTTTTGACTAGTTAAGCTAAACTATTGTTTAGTTTTTAGATGACTTCAGGGGATGTTTTTGGTTTAAGGTAGATTATCTCAGGGCAGTAATTTCAGGGGTTCATCCAGTCTCCATGGCTCCAGAAATTCTGTTGTGCATTGCGCCCTATTTGATCAGGATTCTTCTATAGAATCTTAGATTGAACTGTTCAGTAGTGGTAGCCAGGCACTATTCAGTTCCCCTGGTCTCACAGCAAAGGAGACAGTTGTTCGTGGAGGCAATTAGCCACACCTAAACTATATTATTTTCTTTGCTTCTCTTTAGGCCAGCATTTGTAAATCCACTCCTCACTGAAAGCCCAGAGGAAGAAGAGCTTTTTGCACAAGGAGAATGTATGTTAATTTGTTTACAAAAAGATAAATTGAAAAAGTACCTTAATTATACTGCAGAGAATATTATCTAAGATTATATGTGGACTCTTTATACCAGTCGAAGGTCTTATTTATTGCAAGATTTTATTGAAATTAAAAATACCTTTTTACTTTATAAACCAAACCTGTTACCGTCAAGTCAATTCCGACTCATAGTGACCCTGTAGGACAGAGTAGAACTGCCCCATAGGGTTTCCAAGGCTGTAAATCTTTTTTTTTTGTACTGTTGTACCCTTCACCAAAGTTACCACTTACCTATTGTCTATTTAGTATTCCCCCCCCACCCCTCCCATCCCTCGTAACTGTCAAAGATTGTTTTTTGTGTGTAAACTTTTTCATGAGTTTTTACAGTAGAGGTCTCATACAATATTTGTCTTTTTGTGATTGACTTACTTCATTCACCATAATGTCTTCCAGTTTCACCCATGTTGTGAGATGTTTTGCAGATTCAGCATTGTTCTTTATCGTTGTGTAGTACTCCATTGTGTGTATGTACCATAGTTTGTTTATCCATTCATCTGTTGATGGGCATCTAGGTTGTTTCCATCGTTTTGCTATTGTGAACAATGCTGCCATGAACATGGGTGTGCTGTAAATCTTTACGCAAGCAGATTGCCACATCTTTCACCTGTGGAGCTGCTGGTGGGTTCAAACTGTCGACCTTTTGGTTAGCAGCTGAGTGCTTAACCACTGTGCCACCAGGGCTCCTTTTTGCTCTACAGGGTTTGTATTTTGAAAGAGTTTGTTGATCAAACAGTATTTATTAAGTAATTTGTTTTCTCATTTTTAATGAAGTGGGAAAAACATCTTTCATGAAATAACTGTTACTTAGGGCTCTAGATCAGAATGGTAACAAGTAGGCCCACAATAAGCTGGTGTAATTTCCATCTAAAAGCAAAGAATTACTGGAAATTTTATGTAGTCTGTGCAGCCTCCTTTTGGATATATGTACAATTTGCAGTGGGCCTTTCGAAGTCCTGAAACACTGCCTTTGTAGGATCCAAGAGACCCCAGGTCAGGACCCCAGTACTGTAGTGAGACCCTCCTGACCACAGCTCCTTTTTATTTACCCATGTTCCAGTGAACAAGGGGAGAAGGATTGCGTTCAGCTCCACGTCGTTACTGAAAGTGGCTCCCAGTGCTGAAGAGAGGACCACCATACACGAGATGTTTCTTAACACACTGGATTCAAAGTAAGTTAGGATGGTGAGACTGCAGATAGGGAAAGCATTTAAACATTGGCCTTCTCCAGGCCAAGCTTGGGAATTGTTTTCAAATGTCTTACTTTTCAGCAGCAAAAACATGGGATTGACAGGATTTAATACATCTCCATTTGTACAGGACTATAAGTTTTCGAAGTCGAGTTTTGCCACCTAATGCAGTGTGGATGGAGGATTCAAAACTGAAGAGCTTGCTAGTTTGCCATCCTCAGGTATTGTAATTTAGCGAGAAATCTTCTGAGTGGGATAGCTGGCATTTGTGATACTCGTCTAAGATTTGATACACCTCTAAACTGACACCCCCATTGTATGGCATTAATTCTTTGTTCTGCATATGAAGGCGCCCACACGTTTGTATTTATTAGTATTTATTTTATGTCCTAAAGGAGCGGAACATTTTCAATCGGATCTTTGGTGGTTTCCTTATGAGGAAAGCATATGAACTTGCATGGGCTACTGCTTGTAGCTTCGGGTGAGTTATATTTAAGGCAGTCTAACTTCTGGGAGGTCATTTATACCACCACTGAAATGAAACATTTTGGACCAGTCTGGATGTGTTTGGGAATACGTTGTGTTTTTAAACAATAAATACTATACTGATACCAGCTGAGTTTGATCTTCATTTTAGAGGACTGTTGCTCTGGCCTTGTAAGTTAGTACATTAACAACCTACTGAGAAAAGAAGGTGATATTATGCATAAGGGAAAAGATACGGTGATTTGGCACTAGTCTGGTCATAATGGCATCTGTTACCATTCCTGTTGGTATGCTGTTATGATTTCCCCCTTCTCTAAGTTTATTCTTTGTTCATATTTATTTTTCATAAGCCAGTTGTTAGGGAAACAATAGAGATCATGTGAATTTTGCAATGGGCAACCAACTACTCCTTTACCCCAAATTCTGCCTTTCCCCAATAGTGGTTCCCGACCGTTTGTTGTAGCAGTGGATGATATCATGTTTCAGAAACCTGTGGAGGTTGGATCACTGCTGTTTCTTTCTTCACAGGTAGGTATATGATGAGAGGTGGAATACTGTTTGTTTTGTCCTTTGGGCCTAGAAGAGAAGTTTCTGTATCCTAAAGCCACTGTGTCTCTTATGATTGCCTTTTTTTCCCTTCTAATGTGATTGACTGACTGTAGTATCTATAATTTCTTAGGTTTGCTTTACTCAGGACAATTACATTCAAGTCAGAGTACACAGTGAAGTGGCCTCTCTTCAGAGTAAAGAGCATACGACCACCAATGTCTTTCATTTCACGTTCATGTCAGAAAAAGAGGTTCCTTTGGTTTTTCCTAAAACATACGGAGGTAAGCAGCGATTATTGCTTGTCCCTAACAAAGGGAAGAACTTAAGAATTTATTTTCCTTTTAAGTTGTTGTAGAAAGTATATAAATGCATGTCAGCACAAAAGCATATCTTTAGGAGATTTTGCTTTTGAGTTTTCACGGCCCTGAAGGCCAAAGATACCTCATGGCCGACAGGCAGCTGTTGCTGCTCTGCCCAGGTGACTGTTGTCCGAAGGGCTGGTGCCAGCTACAGGCAGCCACTGGTGGTCAGAGACTGGCCCAGCCAAGGGAAAGAGGTGGAAATTATGGACTGCTCCTTTTGGTACCCTGCACACTCCCTGGACCAACAGTGCATCCCTTTCTCTGGTTTTGCATTCCCATTGCTGTCCCAGTGTTCCCAAGTAGTCCTGGGTTTGCATGCTGATTTTCTAAGGTGCTGCAAATTTCTCCAGGGTTATCTTTCTTATGTTTCAGAGTCCATGTTGTATTTAGATGGGAAGCGGCATTTCAACTCCATGGGTGCCCCGGTGAACTTGATGGGAAAAAACTACCGTGTGGAACCCTAGGAAAAGTCTCACTTGTTGAAAACCAGCAACCTTCAGTAACAAGTGTTTAATGAAGGCCTGATCAAGTGTTTTGGCTTTACTGTTATTCTCCTGCTCCATAGAGAAGAAGAGTGTATTTAGTTTTTAGAATGATCAGAAAAGCAGAATGAGGGAGTGGCTGGGTGGGGTAGAAGAGAGAAAAGAGTTATTAAACAATAAATACCTTCAAAACAATTTAGTTGTGAACCTGTCAGCTTGACTCCTATCTGCCAAAGAAATTAGGGCACAGTACCTTTTTACACAATTGGGCACATTCTTTTCTTACACATATATTGATTACAACTACCAATGTAGGAGGTTTACTGCCAAGGCTTTGGCATTCTTTAAAAACCTTATCTTTGCTGCAATTCCCTTATGTTGTCTACAATCCCAGCAACTCTACGTGATTCTTTTGTGTTTTGCCTCTGTATTTCCCAGCTTTTGTTGTTAGCAGAGGGTAGATGAAAACCTGGGGTAAAGGGATTCAGCAGAAGATGCTGCATTTGTAAAGATTTGTGGGAAACTTTAGATCTAAAGTCATACCACTAGGAAGTGCTTAGAGATGATCTAGAAGAGGAAACAAAGGACCATTTGTTCTGTGTTCATTCACCTCTGCTAGGGGTTGGGCAGGATATATCTGATTAAAAAGCAAAAAATAATAATAATAGCTGCTTATACTTACATAGTATTTACCATGTGCTAGGTACTGTTCTAAGCACCTTACATAGATTAGGTCATTTATGTCTTCCAGCAATGCTACCAAGTAGGTTCTATCGCTTCCTAATAGGGTTAGGCCACTCAGGAAACTGAAGCACAGAGAAATTAAGTGACTGCCTCAGGGTCCCACAACTAGACGATGGTGGTGCTGGGATTCAGAATCAGGCAGTGTGGGTCCAGTGTACTCTTAACCAGTACACTATACTGCTTTCAAGGAGTATAGCAAGGGAGATCATACCCAATATAACAGTGTAATCTAGGAACACAAAAGGAGGTATTTCCATTGATAAGCAGTCAAAATAGAGTTTCCTCCTTGATGGGAAGTATATCAAGTTCAGAAGAGACAGAAAATAGGCTACATAGAAGAAAAAAGTAATCTCTGGAAAGGTGCTCCCAGGAGCAATTTTTACTTTGGGTTCTAGATCAGTGGCCACAAACTTGGCTCTGCATCAGAATTAGCTAGAACACTTTTAAAAAACAATTCATTTCAGTTTATGTAATATTTATGCACAATGGCATAGTCTTGAGAACAAACACAACTATCTCTTTTTGTTGTGCCGTCAAGTGGATTCTGACTCATAGTGACCCTGTATGACAGAGTAGAACTGTCCCATATGGTTTCCTAGGCTGTCATCTTTTATTTTTACTAAATTTTATTTATTTGGTGGTTGTTGTTGAGAACACAACTGTCTCTTGGAGGCATGCAATTTGACTCATGGAGTCAAGGTTCTCTCCGTGCTGTGTTACCATCCTGCTTGGAGCTGGCAAAGCTAGATGGTTAAAAGGAAGGGATGGGCCCTGGGGAGTTTTTTGTGTGTTAAGTGGAGTTCAGTTAAGAGACCTTCTATTGCACGCTAGTGTATAGATTATACATTATATATTTAACCATTCATTGCTGTACACTGAAGCTTTTTCTAGGGTTTTTGTTTTTGTTTTGCTGTTATTAACAGTGTTGCAGTAAATATCCTAAATAGCTAAAACATTTGACCCCTAAATTATTTCCTTAGGAAAAATGTAGAGAACTGAGGTGTCTAGGTCAAATGCTGTGCATATGTTGAAGACTTTTAATATGTTATTTCAAGTAACCCCCCAGAAGGGTTGTACACATTCACTTGTGCATCAGAAATTTCCCTGAACTTTGTCAAATTTTATCCTTTTCTTTTTTAAACATCTTTGCCATTTCAGTAGGTGAAAAATGACATGTGTGTTAATTGTTTTCTTTGAATTCTATTGAGATTAAACTTTAAAAAATGTTGTCTTTTTAGTTAAATTGCTTGTTCAAATAATTTTGGATATTAGAATGTTAACCCCAAATCTGTCATTACTACCAATACAAGTATTTATGTTATAAGAACTAGAGGTTTTTATTTTTAATATAGGACTTTAGAAAATGACATATAGCAAACTATGAAGGATAGACAGTAGGTTCTAAAGGAACAGATGAGAACTTTTATCCAGTACCAGAACTGCCAAGAGTAGTGTCAGGGTCTAGCATGGATCCTCTTTTTTTTTTCTTTTATTATAATTTATTTTATTTTTGGTTGTTATTGAGAATATACACAGCAGAACACAGACCAATTGAATAATTTCTACATGTACAATTGAGTGACATTGATTATATCCTTTGAGTTGGGCAACCATTCTCATCCTCCTTTTCTGAGTTGTTCCTCCTTCATTGACATAAACTCATTGTTCCCTCAGGTTCCTATCTAATCTTTTGAGTTAGCATGGATCCTCTTAATGTGGATTGGACATTGTTTTGTAGTGAATAGTCCGTGTTGAGTTATCACAGTTTTACTTCAGGCATGTATTACTAAGTTCTTAGCTTTTGCTTATGCATTTCTTCAATGTGCAGTCTTTGAGGATGGTGCCTTTATCATTGATTTCTTTAGAAGAGTTCACTTCAATCTAGCTTGCCTTGCACTGTGTTGGTTGTGCTCATGTGATGCTGTAGATCTCCTGTTTCTTGCGGTAACCCCAATACTCTGTGTTTACACGTTCCCTTTAGCATCTGCATTCTCTCTCGTATGATCTGCTTTCTCTCACCTCTTTGAATAGAGCCAGGAGCTTGATTCCTGAAGAAGGGAAGCTCTCCCCCAAGCCCCCTCCTCAGGTATTTCAACTTTTTATTTTTATTTTCAATGCATTTGTGAAGAGGCTGACCTTTTAATCTTTCTGAAGACATATTTGATTCTGTGGGATGGCTAGGCTCTCCTGGGAGGTTCTTCTGCTCCATGTGGCATCAGTTCGGGTCAATGAGCTGTGTTTGGCTGGGAGCTCAGCTGGCAGCTCACTTGGGGCTGGAACATAAGGTGCCTGAGCCAGGGTGGTTAGACTGGGTGGGGGCTGGCCAGACAGACTCCCAGGTCCTAACCATGCCATTTTCCTGCCTCAACTAGTGAGATGCTCTTTTATAAAAGTTTTATGGACAAAAAACTTGGGAAATACTGCATGGCACAACCCCCTTTGGCATTTCATAACTCATATTAGCTTACTAGAGACTCTTTGAAAAGTAGGACCATTAAAAAAAAAAACTTTGTTTAATCAGTTTTTATGAAACCTATTTGACCATGGACCTCTTTTTTTTTTTTTTAACTCCTAAGAACAAATTGAACACGCTTGGAGTTTTTATAACTTAGAAAACTGGGATCTTACAGTTTTCTATTTTGTCACATGAAAAGGCAGTATTGTCCAAGGAGTAAGTTGTTATGCCCTCTTTTGCTATGAAGAATCAAATATTAGTATTATACTTCTTAAAACCCAATTTAGGATGACAGTTTAGATCTGACTGACCTTTACAGTTTTTAAGGGTTGGCAGTCTTGCTTTTAACAGCAATATAATTGCTTGCTGTCACTGCTGATATTTTATACAATGTTAACTTTACAATAAACTCTGAATAATAATCTTTTAGCATTATGGCCTTCTTTACAGATGAGATGAGGGAGATGAAAGGAACTGTGTCAGGAGGATGGTAAAGGTTAGTTTATAAGATACCTGCCTCCATTTTGACACAATCCAGGTATGTGTTAACTGATTCCTGTTTCTGGTCAGGAACCTCAAGCTAAAATTCAATAATGCTTGATGCTTTAACATTTAGAAGTAATTAGAGATTCTTTATTTGGTTATAGAACCTCATGGCAACTTTTATGTTAGTGAAATGTGGTACAAATTTGGGTGAAAAATCAGTTACAAGATGTAATCATCATAAAATAAGAATTCTTATATATGGCTAACACATGTTGGATTCTTACTATATGGTAGGT